AAGCCCTCCGCGTCGTCCGCGACATGGCGCCCCCTGCCGGCCTGGAGGCGAGCTAAGCCTGGCGCGTGACGCAGCGCCCCCTGCCGGCCCGGAGTCCCCCGCGCCGCAGCCCAGTGTGGACCCCACCCCTTTTCTCAGAGAGAGAGCGGATCAAGCCTGTGATTGACAACGCCAACTCAGGTCTCCCGGTGCGCCCTCATCAAAGACGCAGAACCCTCTGCTAATCAGACTTCTCCATTTCAAGTCGTGTACTGACTCCCCATGCCTATCACCCAAATTCAGCATCTTCTGCAGGCCCACGGCTACACACTAGGGCCTCTAATTGGCCCTAACCTAGATTTAACAACTTCCTCACCGAAAACAAGGAGCCTGCACACGACACCCACCTTCACTCCCCCACTCCCCCCCATAACACAACATGTGAAACTCAGGAGCCACTGAAAGAACTTTTGGCTAGGTGTGGACCCTGGTCCTCTAAACCAAGGCCTAGACCCAAACCTGGTGAGACACAGCGGCTACTCTGACTTGCTCTGCTCAAGCAACACTCTAGTGGAAACAGAGCTATGCACTATGTCATATCCTACCAAGACTAACACAATGAATTCTTCCTACCAAACAAGCTCAGGACTGGAGAACTGGGCTGGAGAGTCAAATCATATCACTAAGTATTAGTGAGCAATACAGCTTAGCAACAGGAGAAGGTGTTCAGATACAGGGAAACTTTCTCCCTATTCATTGTTTTTAGCTAAGATGGAATTCACATTCCCATCACACACACACACACACACACATACACACACACACACACACACACACACACACGGAGCTAGGCTACGGAGCATCCAAGATAGCTGAGCATTTAAAAGGCATCTGCTTCTGAACTTGACCTCTTTGAGTTTGGTCAGATCTACATAGTGCAAATTGTCCTCTGACTTACACACACACACATACACACTATATAATTTAAAACATTTAAAAGTAATGAAACCAGTTTTACCTCTAGATATATAAGCTAGTGGGAGGGACAGAATTTGAGGGGTGTGCAGGGAGAGGGAAAAAGGTGAGTGATGCCACCAAAGATTTCTGTTTCTGTTTCCCCAAACTTTAAAGGGTCACTGGTTCTGTGACTGAGAGCTGCCCACTGCCTGCAGCCAAACTTCCAGAGCCATCAGTCCAACCCCTTTAGGGGTCAAAGGCAAAGCCAAAGATTGACAAATTCATTTCCCTTTTCCAGTTGACAAATGGCTGCTCAGGGCCAAAATGGCTCTGCTCAGTTCCGATGGAAGCTGCATCAGCAGGCAAAATTGGCTCATGGCTCAAGACCCACCTCTCCAGGCCTCCCAAGGTGCTCAGTCTTCTAGGCTTCTGAGCTCAGGTCAATACTTCACGCCCCAAATTCTGAAGAAAAAAAAAACAAAACAAAACTGAATGAATATAGGCACAGTCAAGCTTGAGATTTATAAGCACAGAATCAAATCCATGTGATAAGTTGCTGCATAACAGATGGTGAGAAATTTTCAAAGAAAAAAGTATTGATGCCAATCAGACTCACAGAACTTGCTTCCTAAGGGTTCAAGGTGTTCATAGCCATAGCAGAACACAGACAGGGCTAAAAGGCAGCTATCAATAGTTAAAGCTCTGCCTTCCTTGCTTTGCTTGTTCTCCTGTGCTGCTTGTGCTGCCTAGAATAGCCCTGCCCCTCTCTCCACTGGCTCATCATCCTCTTTTGAGTCTCGGTTTCATTAATTGTCCTCAGAACCCTTCCTCCAGGCCCCACAGCACCAGCTTTCTCCTGGCTTTCGCTGTCAGAAAGTCAGGGCATTATCTGGGTGTGGTGGTGCATGCCTTTAATCCCAAGCACTCACTGGGCAGAGGCAAGCTGCTCTCTATGAATCCAAGGCTAGTCTGGCCTACATGGTAAGTTTCAAGACAGCCAGGGCTGCACAGTAACAGCCTGTCTTTAGAAAGAAGGAAGGAAGGAAGGAAGGAAGGAAGGAAGGAAGGAAGGAAGGAAGG